TACAGTCTGGCACCCCAAGTATCTCGGGCAGACAGATCTGTTTAAATGCAAGAACTCCTTGTCCGCTGTGTAGGTATTAATGATACTTGCTACTTCCAGGGAAAATAATCCTCTCGAAGTATATTGTTACATCACTAAATCACTTGCTTCCTAAAGAATGGGACCACCATCTCTCAAGGTCTCTAAATAAATCACATTGCTTTATCCAACTGCTTATTTATGCAGCTTAGAAACACTAATAGTTCATCAACCTCCTGATTTTATGGGCCATCTTCAGACATGTTAATCTCTCACATCTTTTAAAACCCCCTCCTTCATGGGTAGGAATGTTCTCCGGGAATTCCCAATCATGTCATATTTAATGAAAACAGTACCAGTAATCACATTGGTACCTAGCCCCTTCCTCTTGGGAAATCTCCAAATGGCTTCCAGATTGGTGGGGGTCAGTTTTCAAAAGAGTAAGGAAAGAGGGGGAGGGGATTAGTTCCCTATCAAGGTTGGGGGAGGAAGTGTCACTCAGTTCATCTGGGCTTTATCACTTCCATTCAGACCCAATGTTCCAATAAGCTGAAATGCACCTATTTGGCAGGGACTTCTCTCACGCTGGCCAGGGAGCCATCATACTGTCATCACAGCTGGATATGACAGGTTCCAGGAGTTTAGAAATTGTTTTTGACATGGTGGGAAGCATTTTCATGTCCTCGCACCAGGAATACGTCATTTCCTATGTAAGTGGAGCCACCCCACCCCCAGCCCTTTCTCTCTGGTTTTCCCCATGGTGCTCATCACCACACAGCGTGTCCCATATCTGTCACTTTTCTGTCTTTACCCACTAGCATGTAACCTCCGTGCCACATATGCAAAAACCCCACCTTCTTCCAGAGGGTTCAGTGGAGTCAGAGAAGCCTCGCTTACCGTCCCAGTGCTGTAGCTGATGGGCTGTGAGATCTTGAGAGAGCTGCTGGAGCTCTCTGGTTTTCAGGTTTTTCAGGGATGAAATGCAGCAATCCTATGTACCTTACAGGCTGGTTGAGGATTAGATGATGTCAAATGGTCAGCTAAGCATGGGGCTGGGCCGACAGTGAGCACTTGGTAAAGAGTGGCTATTTGAACAACAGCAAAAAAAAAAAAAAAAAAAAAAAAAAAATCACTGTTCCAGGGTTTCCTAACCTGGAAGGTGGTTAGATCTCAGAATCTTAACTTCACCCATGGAGGCTTACGCCTTAGGGCTAAGTTCTGTTCCTTCAAGGGTTGAGGACCAAGATTTGGGTGTGGTTACAGGTGCCAAGGGCCTCTAGGGCTGCAGGAACCTGCTGTAGGGTTTTCCAGCAAATCGAAACACAGTCGTCAGGGATCCCTTGTTCCATACACAGGAGCTGCAAGCCTGTTTCATATCCCAGCCCAGTGGAGACGGTGTCTGAGCAGGGGAGGGGGCTCATGATACCCCACGGCCTGTGGCTTTCAACTAACAGAAGGGAAAAGTTTGGTTTAGCCCCCTCTGGCTGGGTGTTACCAAGTTGTCTGCTGAAATGGGTTTTGCCCTTTTTTTGGTCAAAGAGGGTTGGGGTGGGGGCCCATAGGTGGGGGTTTCATTTCTACACCCCTGATTGCCAGCTCTTCCCAGCCCTAGTGTGGCAAGAGCAGAGTTAGAGTGACAACAGCTGACTCGCCCAGACCAACCCCTTACCTCCTGGAGAAGAAGAGATACCAGCATTCTTGCTTCTCTTCCAGAGACCCTCCTTGGAGGAAGCATATCTCTGAAAGCGAGTGAGTGTTAAGTGCATAATCTTATCTGCTTCTCAAGGCACCGAAAGGCTATTTTACCAATCATTTTAAATAAGTGGCACAGCAAAAATGCAGGATTACTCAGATGAGCATTCCTGACGCCTCCAGCAGTGGGTAGGAGCACTTCAAACGAGTTAATAATATACTCTAACAGACGACACAAAGGTATGAAAAGCCATTTTTAAATTGTTTGCCCTTTCACACATCTGAGATACTGTTATCACTCAGACATTTTTTTTTCAGATTAAGAAAAGGAGGTAAAAAGATTTCCAAGGCAGAGCAAGCAGATAGATTTCTACTAAAGCACGGGTGTGTGCATGCGTGGGTCGGCTTGCACACATGTGTGCACACACCCGTGTACACTGCCTTTGCACGGCTCTCATGTTCTAACCACTCCTCCCTGGATCCCACAGGATCACTGACCCCATGAACTCTGCCCAGACCCTTCCCAGCTCCCACCACAGCTGACCCTCTGAGCAGGGATGCTAGGGACGCCTCCCTCCCCTTCCCTACTCCCTGCTCCTACCCCACCTACCTGCAATCCTCCTGGCCAGTCATCTGGGCTCCAGTCCCAGTGCCTGGAGACTTCGTCCCTATACGTTTCACAGTTCTCCACGTTGTGCTGTCTCTAAACATCTGTGACATGTTGTGCTAACCCTTTTTTATAATCAGAAGTTTCTTCTCGTACCTGGGAGAGTGGAATAAACCATCTCATCACTCTACTGTCCCCACTGCTCCCACCCTAATGAGGTCAGCGCTGCAGTGTGTGGCTCTTACACAGAAGGGTCATAAATCCTCACACCCCCCTTCTTCTTCTTTTTTTTTTTAAGATTTTATTTATTTATTCAAGACACACACACACAGAGAGAGACAGAGAGAGACACAGGCAGAGACACAGGCAGAGGGAGAAGCAGGCTCCACGCAGGGAGCCCAATGTGGGACTCGATCCCAGGTCTCCAGGATCACGCCCTGGGCCAAAGACAGCGCTAAACCCCTGAGCCCACACCCCCTCTTCTTCTAATGGAAAGTCTGAGATACCCCCTAGGATGGCGATGTGGCCTAACACACTAAAGCAGCATTGCAAAGCTTCTGTAGCCATTCATGATTAGACAGACCGATTCTTGGTTTCTTTTCTTTTTTTTCCTTTTTTTAGATTTTTAATTTATTTATTCATGAGAGACACAGAGAGAGAGGCAGAGACACAGGCAGAGGGAGAAACAGGCTCCATGCAGGGAGCCCGATGCGGGACTTGATCCCAGAACTCCAGGATCACAACCTGAGCCAAAGGCAGAAGCCCAACCACTGAGCCCCCTAGGCGCCCCTGATTTGTGGTTTCTTAAGCAGGGGCCAGGAGTCCATCTGAGGGGAACAGAGTAGGGGGGCTGGGGTAGCAGAGGGGGATGACACTTGACACCTTTCAGTACGTTGATGTCAGGCACAAATTCCATAAAATAAAATCATACTGCATTAGCATGGAATGGATTGCGCCGTACTGGAAAGGATCACATGACTTCAAAGAGTAATGGTTATTTTTAGAAGTGTGTGTGTATGTGCGTGTATGCACGTGCATACTTGCAATTGATTCCAGAGTTATCTGTGGGGTGATCAGCAATACCTCCTTCTGTGGCTCACACTGCTTTAAAGCCCCTCCTGGATCCCATTCAGTCAAAACACTCAGTGAGCACCCACTCTGTGCCAAGTTAGTGTTCCCTGTAAGTGAATGCGTCCCCCCCCCCGCCCCCATCCAGGAGGTCACAGACTTCCAGGAGGCCAGAGAAGATGAAGGCAGAGGGATGCACGGTGTGTGGTGCTGGGGGTGGAGGGGGGGTGGACAGCTCCCGTTGAGATGAACGAGATGATTACAACATTGACGTGAAAGCTAATTATAGAAAAATTCATCTCTCCTGGAATATAAACAATTTCCTGTAAGTATTTTATTGAGAAATCTAATCTCACGAGGATTTTCTTTTGTCCCTTTCCTGACTAATTTGTTTCTCTGGTGTGCGTGTGTGTTTAACTGTCATTGGGATTATCATACACAGAGTCTGCTCTGGAGAAACTTGGTATAGCCTGAGTCCCATGTCCCTTTTGCTCTTCCCCAAACCCTTTCAGGGCCTGGACACCCCTGCACAGTCCCTCTACCCACGCACACACATGCACACACGCACATACATGCACGTACACACACGCACGTACACGCACGTGAATACCTGAGCATGCCTTGTGCTGGGAGGTCCTAATATGCAATGACCTGATTGACCAGGCGCCTTCCATCCCATAACATGACTATGGGAAGAAGGGACACGGGGAGGCTGTTTCTCTGACCTCAGACATTTTATGGCTAAGAGCAGCCTCCTGGGGGGGGGGGTGTCTGTGATCTGTTCTCATTCCCATTCATATCTTTTCATCAAAACTGGCTATGAACTTAATAATCCTTATGACTCACTTGCAAAAGTACATAGGAAGTCAGGTTTGTTTTTCAATTTCCTTTTTCTAAAGGTTAAAATTAAAGCAGGGAGGAGCAGAACATTACTCTCTGGGGCCCAGCGGGGACACCCAGGCCCAGGCTGCTTGTCTGTGTGTTTTTCCGTCACCACAGCTCTCGGTGGTTTACCCACTATATCCATGATTGCCTTTCTCAGCTACGTGGTGAAGTCAAATCCGGAGGTGATTCCAGGAGCCCTCCTCACCGAGCAGACTTTTCTCCCACCCACCCCGCTGCCCCAGCCATTCGCCCTCCAGAAAATTCTGTGTTTCCCCATTCCCTGGTTTGACTCACCTTTGTCTCCTTACCTACAAGAAGGAGCCCTTTCTGTCCACCCTCCTCCAGCTGCATTGCATCCTACCCCTTCTTGAAAGCATTGCTGAAATTCCACGTCCTGTGTCCTGCCCTCATCACCTAAGCCAGGAATGCTCACTTCTCAGCCTGGGAAGGACTTACTGCCTTCCTTGCAGTGTTGATCTCATTGATTCATTTGACAAATATTTGTTGAACACCTAGAAGGCCCTAAATAAACAGTGCTCCCAGTGTGGGAGATACAGAGACAGAGAACAAGCTTTGTGTCCTGTGGTTGGTGCCCGGCCTGCTTGCAGGTTCTTTACAGGGGAGACCTGGGTTGAACACTCATTGGATCCCCCAGAATACAGTAAGAATCCATTTGAATGTACTGAACTGATTAATGAATTCACTCATCTTTTCCCTCGATGCCATACAGAGTTTGCATCAACACTAAATAACCCCTCTAAACGTCTGAGGCTGAATGGGGTAAGAAGAGGAATACATTCCATTCTTATTAAAAAACATCAAGTGATTGTTTTCTGTATCAAATGCGGAATTCCGGTTTTATCAAACACGTCTCAGAGAAACACCCCAGCCTCCAAAGCAGACAGCAGTTGTAAACATCTCCTCTTCCTGCTGAGAAGCTGCGGAATTCCATTGCCCTGACCTGCGAAATACCAGTTCTCTGCTCCCTCCCCATGGAACGGAAGCTAAGCCCTGAGGGAGGGCATTTGTGTGTTTAGACCCTCTGCGTGATGCCTAGTGCTGGACCAGGAGGTAGCTCAACCCACAAACCACTAGCAAAGGGGATGGAAAAAGACAGGACCCAGCAGAGGGGAACACAATTGCTCACTAGCCCAGAATCTGGAACTTGGAAGCCAAATTATGGTTAGCCACATGGCTTTATTATTGACCTTCTTCTTTGGCACGTAGTGCTTTATGGGTACACTGTATCTTCGCTTTTTCTGACCAGTCTCCAACTTCCCACCAACACTGCTTATACCAAAAGATGGCAAATGGCACGTATCCTGGCATTTTTCTATGGCTTAAGGCACATTCAAGACTCTTGATGATGTAAAAGAAAAACAGATGACTGCGTCTATTTCCTGCCTGATTACTACTACTTTAAAGGAATGCCGAGGTTTTGTTTGTAAAAATACACTGATGATTATGTAACCAGTGAGACCTACATTTATTTCTACCTTATTTTGTTTAGTGCAGGCTCAATTAAACTTCACGGCCCTCATATAATCTTCTTTAATCTTTGTGGTTTATTGGACAATCTGGTGAACTTGTATCACATCCTGAGGTTGGGTGTGCATTCAAGGCATCAGGGAATGATGAGTTCAGTTGTGAGGTGAAGGAGGCCATATGGGATAGGTTTTCCATCTTAAATTAGCATACATCAGAGGCCTGGTGGGGGGGAGTCCATGGCATCAGGTGACCAGAATGAGGGGCCATAGCAGCCTGTGACTCACGTGACAGCTGGGGAAGAAATGGAACACTTCTCCCAAATCCAACTGAGATTGTTAATGCCCAGGCTGGGAAAGGGTGGTGCCACCCTTCTGTAGCAACTAGCCGGGCAAACCAGGGGTTTCTGGAGAAGCTTCTGTTTGCATGGCTAAATAATAAAAGGTGGTCTTGATAGGTCTACTCTTAAATTGTGTGATGGACCATTATCAGAGCTCTGCTAACTGATCAGACATTTGACCCGCTAAAATGTAGTCTTGGGGTTTATTTTGATCAGGTCCGTGGGCATAGGGGTGCGGGACAAAAGAATTTGTCAGTCAATTCTTCTGCAATATGCATTCATTTCTCCTCTTAACATCAGCAGAAGCTATTATTAGGGATTGAATGTGCTTCACCCCCATGTTTAAGCCCTATTTCCCAATGTGATGGTATTTGGATGTAGGGCCTTTAGGAGGTCACCTGATTTAGGTGGGGTCATGAGAGTGGGGCCCCTGAGATGGGATTAGTGCCCTTGTGACAGGAAGAGCCCAGAGCTTGCCCTCTACCATGTGAGGACACAGTGAGAAGGCAATCACCCATAAGCCAGAAAGAAAGCTCTCACCACACCGAATCTCCTAGAATGGTGATCTTGGACTTCTCAGCTTCCAGAATTATGAGAAATAAATGTCTATTGTTTAAGCTGTCCAATCTATGGTGTTTTGTGGTAGCAGCCCATGCTAAGACACGTTCTTTGTATTCGTTGAATAGAAAACCGCTCATACTCAACTCTAAATGTACCAACCTCTCTTCTCCATATTTACTTAATATTTCCAGTATTTAATTAGTATCTTGTAGTGTATAAAGTTGGCCTTTGAACATCATGGGTTTGAACCACATGAGTCCACTTGTGAATTTTTTCTGATAAATACAGTTCCATACTATAAATGTATTTTCTCTTCTTTATGTTTTTCTTAACAACGCTTTCTTTTCTCTAACTTGCTTGATTATAAGAATACAGTATATAGTACATATAGTGTATGGAATATATGTCAATTGACTGGTTATGTTATTGGTAAGGCTTCCGGTCAACAGCAGGCTATTAGTAGTTAAGTTTTGGGGGAGTCAAAAGTTATGCTTTTCAACCAACGGGAGGGGGTAGTCAGTACCCCTAAACTTTACACTGTTCAGAGGTCAACTGTATTCTTTTATTTGTCCCAATATCCTTTTCCACCCCACTGCCTACCTTTTTTACTTTTACATCATTGCCTTACTAAATGCTACTCCACGTATGTCAAGACTCAACTCAAGTGTCCCCTCTTCCATGGAGCCGTCCCTGCCCTCCTCCTCTCCTTCACCCCCAGTCTGGATTCTATGCACTGCCTATGGTAGCTCCTACCAAAGCCTCTATTTTTTTTGCTTTTTACTTTTTACTCAGTCCCTCACTAGACTGAATTTCTCATCAAAGGCAAGTGTGTGTGCTGAGTTCAAGCAGCGAACCTGAAGTGGAAGCCATAGGCACTTTATTGAGTGAAATATGTTTTTTAGAGAATCCTTCTGAATAGAGATCTTAACTTGTCAGTGTAAAGTAGTGTTTGCAGGGAAGGATGGGGGAAGACATGCTGGCAAACACTAGCGAGCAGCCAGGGGTTTAGTGTGGACTTGCAAATCAGAACAGGACCCCCAAACCCTGCTGGAATTGTTGAAGACAAACACAGGAAAAGTAACAGAAGGGTTTGGAATGGAACCGGGTTGTAGAAACTTAGAATTCAGGGTCTCAGGAGGAGAGGAAGTTCCATGTGAAAGGTCAGAGACTGTAGAATTTTTGTTCGTTTGAATGGCAACTCTGTTTTGGGTTGAATTGTGTCCTCTCAAAAGATGTTGACATTCTAACTCCCAGCACCTGTGAATGTGACTTTATTTGGAAACAAAGTCTTTGCAGATGACCCAGTTAAGATGACATCGTTAGGGCGGGTCCTAATCCAATGTGGCTGGTGTCTTTTTAAAATGCGGAAATTTGAACACAGAAACAGACCCAGAGAGATGATGTGAAGACATCAGGAGAAGACCATCAACCAACCAACGAATGCTCACAGCTGCCAGAAACTAGGAGAACAGAGTGGAACAGATTCTCCCTCCCAGTCCTGGGAAGGAATCAACCCAGCCAACCTTGGTGTCAGCCTTCTAACCTCCAGGAATGTGAGAGGATAAATTTCTGTTCTTAAAACTACCCGTCTGTGGTGCTTTGTTACTGAAAACTCTGGGGAACTGGTACAAACTGTTCCACTTAAACTCTAAATTACCTGCAGGCAGGGACTTGGGGTCCTTTATCTTCAAATCTCTAGAGGTTGGCATACCCACCGGACGTGTATAGAAATCTCAAGCTGCCTTCTCAGGCCAAGTTCTCTTTGGACTTTAAGTTGGAAGATAGGAGCTAGAAAGGATAGAAAAGTGAGAGGCTGGAATTGATACAAGCCAGAATTTTGCCCAAGCTTTTACTGTTGCCACTTCCTCCCCCCATCTCCTAAATCATGATATCTCCTTCTTCGGACATAGAGGAAAGACGCCAAGATGCCAGGATCCAGGGACATTTGTCTTCAAAGCATCTGCTGACAGGGATAAGTAAGAACATGATGTCTTCACCCTGTGTCCCGCCTCCTCCCTACCCTGGGGTTTCGCTACCCCACAATTTCCTAGGGAACTCTTGTTTCTTATTATTTAAAGGTTAACTTGAAATTCATTTCGGATGAGAAAAGTAAGAAAGCTCTGGAAAGCTGTGTTCGGGTAAGTATTTTACCTTAGGTTAGCTTTTAATTCCAGAATCTTTGAAAACTATAAAACTCAGTGATGGATTTATGTGGTTCCCTGACCAATACAGTTATTTGTAATAATAATAATAATAATAGTAGAGTAAAAGATAGCACAGCCTCAGATTTTTTTCCCTTTACTCAGCTGAAAATTTAACCAGACAGGCAATTGCTGTAATATATAATATGTGTCCGCTGCATTTATGGCACATTACATATTACATGGTTATTATCCTGCATTTTCATCCAATCATCTTATTAGCTCTGGTATTTTTATGTGGTGAATGACTACAAGCTGAAAGTCAAGCAAGGAAGGCATCGGTGGAGAAATGAAACACAGGCTCAGGAAAGCAGAACCCATTAAAATGTGGCCACCGCCACAGTGGGCCACAGTCAGGGGGTTGACAATGAACTCTGGAAAACTACTAAGGCCCTACAGTGAGAAGCACCATCTGTGATAGTGTCCCCACTGAGTAACTAATTCTGTGTTTCATTCTCCCATCATACCACAATTACACCTCATTTCTCTTTCTCAAGCACCACGGTTAGATGGCTCTTTGAGTGCCTCTGTGATGCACACCACGCTCAACTGAAAAAATATCTCACAAGAGGAGAGTGCCGTGTTACAATAGAATTCACTATCTTTAAATATATTTTTCGGAACCCTGGAGAATGCCATTGTATATTCTGACATATTATTAAGAGAAAATGAAACCGCCCCATGAAGTTCTAAAAACAAACTTGGGCCCATTTTTATAGCTCATTCAACTGATTTTCTAAGTTATGAGTCATTTGTTGCTTTTGGTGTTTGATGTCATTTGCCCAGAGCTACATGGAGTCCTATTTTAGGGATATGAGCAAAGATATGATGGATTATAATAAATCAGGCTGCTGGTCAGATTGGTTTTTTTTTTCTAATAGTGTTCCATCTGTTCTTTTCCATTTTTTTTAAGATTTAAGATTTTAAAAAATTTATTTATGAGGAACACACACACACAGAGAGAGAGAGAGAGAGAGAGAGAGAGAGAAGGCAGGAGAAGCAGGCTCCATGCAGGGAGCCCAACCTAGGACTCAATCCTGGATCTCCAGGATCACAACCCAGGCGGAAGGCAGCACTAAACCGCTAAGCCACTGGGGTGCCCTGTACTTTTCCATTTTGAAATTCCCTACCTCCTCTGCCTTTTCTTCTGGAGCCAACGTTTTATTTTCTTTTGTTTCTTTCCTTCTCACTTGT